TTTCCCGGCCCCTTACTCTTTTTTTTTAACTGCCAATTTTTTTTTTTTAAAAAAAAAAAAAAAAAAAAAAAAAAGCAGTTTAAGTTCGTTGCCAGATGCATTCAAGCAACTACTTCAAATTACATACTTTTTTTTTGGGACTGGAAAAAGAAACGAAGTTCTGTGCTTGATTTGAAAATTTCACAATGCGCTTCCTCAAGATGGTTCTTTTCATACCTGCAGGGAGTATTTTCCGATTTAAGGTGCGTTTGCTCGCATACCGCGTCACTTATTAACCCCGCTGAAAGCCTTAATAACTAAACCCTACGAGAGTGATTTGTGACACGCCAAAAGTCAATAATGTAGGGTTTTTATGAGAAGCATTCCTGCGCAGACATGGCAACGTCTTGCTTTTTATTTGTCTTTGTACGGACTCCCACACAGCCAGGAGGGAGGCTGGAAAGCGGCTCCCAACAGTTTCCCAGCCGCCTCGGCGCTGATTTTTCTTTAACCCGTTCATGCTGTACAGAGCGCCTCTGTTTATTTTTATTCAATAATTTTTGCCTGCATGTATTATATTGTAGTTTTACAGCTACCTAGACAGCTTTCTGTAAAATCAAATTCACTTTAGATTTAGATTATCACCTGCAGAACAGGAACATTTTCTATATTTGCTTTGCTCTTTTGTTGTAAATGAAATGTATATTGTAAAATATTTCTTCTTGATAGTCAAGCTTTTATGCATAATTCCAATGACATCACAGAAGGCGCTGGGGACCTTATTGCAGTGGTTTTATTTATTTTTTCTTAACTTGCATGTTTCAATCAAATGCGTCTTCATGTTGCTTTTGATTGTTTATATTCCTTATGTACAGTAACACCTTTGAGCTATGTGGCAACTTTGCATGGATTTTCATCAAATTATGCAACACTCAAACACATCAAAGTGGTTTTCAAAGTGGAGCAGGGCAAAATGGATATGCCAGATTACATTATCTGTAATCATACAAATGACAAATGTATACAAAAACTGATTAATAGAATTCTGTTCATAATCCTTTATGAATTTTCCATCTAATGTTGTGCTTTCCTTCACCGCTGCATCCATCATTTAGAAACCACTTTTAACTCAAATGCAACTGTAGTGCTCCACAATCTACATTAAAATGTTTAAAGAAACTGCTCATCCTCCATAATGTTTATGAATAACATCATATGAATAAAATCCTGCAGTGGAAATCTACACTTCACTACCCAGCTTATATTTTATTTTTTCAGTTTACATTTTATCAGAGTAAAAGAAAATGCATACAACCTGTATCTTTAAAAGTCAGGAGTGACTATAAATGGTGTTCTCTGCCTTATTTTAATTCCAAAATGTAAAATCTGTGAAAAACATTTTACCCTTTCTTGTTTATTTTGGCTATGATTTACACATTTGAGTTCAATTTAACATCAAGAAGGGTGCATGGTTGCTATCTTGGCAATGTGCTCATAATAGGCGCACTGCCAGCTCAGATCTGTCATCCGATTGGCTGCTCTGCTTCATCCTATTTCCACATGGAACCCATCAAGCTACTCACCAGCCTGGCCCACATTTGTTAAGTCATTTAAGGCAGTCTGGTTTCTTGCAATTGTTGTCTTTAATTGTAATCCCAGCTGATGTCTTCTGTCTATTGACATTAACATTTTTTTTTCTTTTTTCTGATGTTGCTCTGTTCCAGGTGACTCTGTGAAGATCCCGGTACGATGATGGGGAAGTTCTCAGTAGCACTGCTCGTTCTGCTCCTGCAGCTCTTCTCTGGCTGCGCAGGAAGCCAAAGGTTTGCGAGGGCTGCCTCCATGCAGTTCACCCACTCTGTTTACAATGCCACCATATATGAGAACTCTGCTGCTAAGACCTACCTGGAAAGTCACACCAAGATGGGGATCTATGTCACGGACCCAACGTGGGAGATACGGTACAAAATAATCTCTGGGGACAATGAGAACTTGTTCAAAGCGGAGGACTACTTGTTGGGAGATTTCAGTTTTTTACGAATAAGGACCAAAGGAGGCAGCACTGCCATTCTCAATCGGGAGGTTAAAGACCACTATGTGCTCACTGTCAAAGCTTCAGAGAGGAGCACCAATTTGGAGTGTCGCACGAGAGTGAAGGTGCAGGTACTGGACACCAACGACCTGAGGCCTCTCTTCTCGCCGACCTCCTACAGCATCTCTCTACCAGAGAACACGGCCATACGCTCAAGTGTGGCCAAAGTCATGGCGACTGATGCAGACATCGGTACAAATGGAGAGTACTACTACAGCTTCAGAGAGTGGACGGACATGTTTGCCGTTCATCCGACAAGCGGGGTGGTGACGCTCACTGGCAGACTGGACTACTCCGAGACAAAGCTGTATGAGCTGGAGATCCTGGCCGTGGACAGGGGCATGAAGCTGTATGGCAGCAGCGGCTTCAGCAGCATGGCCAAGCTTACCGTGCGGGTGGAGCAGGCTAATGAGCATGCGCCTGTAATCACCGCGGTAACATTGTCGCCATCCGATGCAGATCACGACCCGACTTATGCTGTTGTGACGGTGGAGGACAAAGACCTGGGACCAAACGGAGAGATCTCGTCGCTGAGCGTCGTGGCCGGTGACCCGCTTCAGCAGTTTAAGGCTGTAAGAAGCAGCCCTGGGAGCAAAGAGTATAAAATAAAAGCTGTGAAGGAGGTGGACTGGGACAGCCAGCCATTCGGATACAACCTCACCTTACAGGCAAAGGACAAAGGCACCCCACCTCAGTTTTCGTCTGCTAAACTGGTACACATCACCTCTGCAGAGTTCCAAAAGGGTCCTCCGGTATTTGAAAAGGCTGTCTACAGAGTCAATCTCAGTGAATTTGCCCCTCTTCACACACCTGTGACAATGGTGACAGCTGTGCCACGGTATCCCCATCAGAATTATGCCTTTAAACACAGTTCTGATAAGAACAGATTCAGCATCAATGCAGATACTGGCTTAATCAGCACAGCAGGACCAATCAATGCTGCTATTTCGGCACAATATGAGATAGAGGTGATCACAAGTGACAAGAAAGCAGCCACAAAAGTGATTGTTGATGTGATTGATGTGAATAACAATGCACCGGAGTTCCAGCAAACATCCTACAAGGCCAGTGTCGATGAGAAGGTTCCTAGTGGGACCAGTGTGGTAGCAGTGAAAGCCACTGATCTAGACAAAGGGGAGAATGGCTATGTGACCTACAGCATTACCAACCTGAGTCCGCAGCCGTTTGTCATTGACTACTTTTCCGGTGTCATCAGCACTTCAGAGGTCCTGGATTATGAGCTCATGCCCAGGATTTACAATCTGAAAGTCAGGGCATCTGATTGGGGATCCCCTTTCAGAAGAGAGGTGGAGGCATCGGTTACCATAACTTTAAATAACTTGAATGACAATAAGCCTTTGTTTGAAAACATTGACTGCGAGGTCACTGTGCCAAGGGATCATGGGGTGGGAGAGCAGATTACAACAGCTTCTGCCATAGATGCAGATGAACTGCAGCTTGTGCGGTACTTCATTAAATCTGGGAATGATCTTGATCTATTTGAAATGAATCCAAACTCAGGCCTGCTGTCGCTGAAGCGCACACTTAGTGAGGGGGAGGCGGCTAAAGTGTCGTTTCATAGTTTACATATTGTTGCGACCGATGGCGAGCATGAGACTCGGCCAATGACCATGAACATAACTGTCATCACAGCACGCAAGCCCGTCCAGGTGAGATGTGTGGAAACGGGTGTCGCCACCATGCTGGCCGAGAAGCTGCTCCAGGGAAGCAAAATCCACGGCCAGACTGAGCCAGAGGATAACTACATGGACATTTATTCAGTCAACCGGTACTCTCCTCTGTTTGATGAGTCTTTCCCAAGTTTTGTTGAAGTTAGAGAGGACCTTCCTGTTGGAGCTCGGGTCATTCATTTAACTGCAACAGACCCAGACAGTGGCTTCAATGGAAAATTAGTGTACGTCATTTCAGGGGGAGACGCAGAAAGTCGTTTTATTGTTGACATGGAAACCGGTTGGCTGTTGGTTTACTCTCCACTTGACCGTGAAACGACAGACCACTACACCCTCAACATTACTGTTTACGATCTCGGGATACCGCAAAAATCTTCTTCACGCCTGTTGGACGTGAAGATCCTGGACGCCAACGACAACAGCCCTCAATTTTTGAAAGATTCCTACTCGATTGAAATAAGTGAGAGCACACCGGTTGGAACCGAAATTATCCAGGTGGACTCAACAGATAGGGATCAGGCAGACAATGGAATTGTCAAGTACTCAATTTTAGGGGGCACAGATCATTTTGCCATCAATGAGATGACTGGAGTGGTGACTGTGACGAAGTTGCTGGATCGGGAACGCTATCCATTTTATGTTTTGAAGATTGCAGCACGAGACCAGGCAGTGAGTGAGCCTCAGTTGGTGTCCACAGTTCCACTTAAAATTACCCTGGAAGATGTGAACGATAATCCTCCCAAATTTGTTCCTCCTAATTACCGTGTTAAAGTGAGGGAAGACCTTCCTATCGGTACTGTAATTATGTGGCTGGAAGCGCATGACCCTGATGTTGGTGCTTCCAGTCAAGTACGGTATAGCCTGATTGATAATGGAGATGGCCACTTTGAAGTGGACAAACTCAGCGGAGCTCTTCGCATTGTCCAAAATTTGGACTATGAGACCAAACAGGTGTATAACCTGACAGCCAAGGCTAAAGACAAAGGAAAGCCAATATCTCTGTCCTCAGCCTGTTTCATTGAGGTGGAGGTGGTGGACGTGAATGAGAACCTCTACAGGCCTTTCTTCCGGTCATTTGTGGAAAAGGGATTTATAAAAGAGGACGCCCTCATTGGGACTTCTGTGATGACGGTTTCAGCTGAAGATGAAGACTCGGGACGAGACGGAGAAATTCGGTACTCCATAAGAGATGGATCTGGCTTAGGAATTTTTTCCATTGATGAAGAAACTGGTGAGTGTTTGTGTTATATAAATCTACATCTATTTATTAAACTAAGAAAAGTCAATCAGCTAAATGGTTAAATGGTGTTGGTTGATTCATTTACTGGCAGAAAATAGTGGTACTTTTGGTTTTGTTGTATTTTATGGATGACACATCAGATTTGTCTGCATTTCACTTATCAACTGCCAATTAATAAATTAGGGTAAACCTGCCTTCGGTTGCCAATTTATTGGTGCATCATTCAAGAAAGTTTCGATAGTTGAGTTTGACATGTTTTCCTGTGTGTAACTTTGGTCTAAGAGTTTCCTTTTACATGCTAGTTTCTTATTCCAGTCATTTTTTTCCTTTTTGTGAAAGAACTGATGGCAGGAACAGATGGAGCAGCTGTTTCTCAGACCTTTGTGTGCATTCCTGTGTAGTTACCTTGGTTGTAAAAAGATTATTTCACTTGCTTCTTTCCCCCAACCAACTTTTTATGATACAGATGGTTCTCAAAACAATTTTGATTTAAAAGTTTTTCAATTTGTTTTGACTACGAAAATCAGCTCAAACTACACTCTATTCTTTCTTACAGTGCTGATTGCAAGAATTATTTTATTGATCTTGCTAAATTAATGTTAATACATGCTCTGCTGTCTTTAATGATTTCAACAGCTGACTCAAATTAGGTCCAAATATACAGCCTGGAATGCTAATAAGACCCTTGATCACCTAAGCTAGAGATGGAGGACCTCTTTAGCTGCCCTTGTTTTTTTTATTTTTATTATTTCACTCTTAGCTATCTTAAAGTGACTTTTTCTTCTATTTTTAATTAAAGCTCTCTTTCTGCTATGCATATTTAATATCTGAATGAGGCAGTGAAACTTTATGTATAATATATTGGCTTGGCACTTGCAAGTGCGTGCTGGTTCATCTCAACAAGGAAGCCAGGAAAAGCAATTTATCAGTTGGCTGCTTTACCTGTTTAAGAGACGGTTTATACCTACGGGTTAATTGAGATGCATGTGAATAATTCAACAAGTTGACAGGAAATCTCTTCAGGGAAACGCTGTGGGATAGACCTAGCTGGTAAATTCAGCATGGGTTGAGTACTCCAGGTTGTTTGTGATTGTTCTGAGATATCTAAAATGCAACACGATCTTGTTTTAAGAAGATGGATGCTGTGGAATGTAAACCTTGGACTAGCTATTGGATACTTGTGTGCATAGAAATGGATTTCTATGCACTCATCACAAAATCTTTCTGTTCAAAATTAGAAACTGTGGCATATGAGGTACTGAGTTACAGAGACAAGATTTCTAATGTGAGAATGTATGGCCTCACTTTATTGCTGAGTGCCATTTCCAGCATCTGAACAGCTTGGAGTGTGAGAACATTTGGAGAGGCAATTATCAGAAAAAATGATTTTTGTGTTGTACCATTTTATTTCTGGACATAATTTTTCAATATTGCCATAATGTACTTCTGACTTGTGTATGTCATATAAATATAAATTCTATTGACTTGTTTCATGTCTGATAAATGTAAAGTCCTAAAGAAAGCTGAGAGACACTATCTAAAGATTTGTTACCAAAGTCTGATTTTTGACTTGCCAATACTGATCTTGGCAGAGTCAGTTTTTTCTGTAAGAAGACAAAATGACAGAATTGAGGTTAATTTATTGGAAATTACCATGATATGGTAGAGGTTAGTTATGGTCGGTTCTCAAGCTGGAAACTAACTATATTGTTTTTTTAGTTCTGGTCATCAGCCCATATCATGGTGCTTCTCTACAAAACGCAGGTAAATTAACCAATACCTTATGTAACTTTTTTTGTGCCCCAGTAATGTTCATTAAAATCCACTTTGTGGTTATTCAGTTGACATTATATCAAAATCAGAGATTTAGACTTTTTTCAACCCTGTACTAATCTCTGGTTGTCTTTAAGTTCTGACCATATTTTAGCTGATTCTGAATTTTTTAGGAATAAATTCAGAGTTATAAACAATTTCTGTTCATCATTGTAAGCAGTGATTCTGTATGGCATCTGTTTAAACTTTGCTTATTTTAGTTGGTAAATTGGAAAAAAATACCAAACAAAAAAGAATGAAAATGATTCACCATATTTAATGGAGGTAGTAGTCTTACAGGTAAGGTGGATCAGCGACAAAGTGCCTGAGACTGGCAACCCACCAGCTATGGGATGGAGCCCTACCTCCTGAGCCAATGGCTGTGATAGATGTTCACTGTATTGTTTTAACTCACTTTTCCCCCCATTTGCAACATTTTAAGAGTTTGCTCAAAATTCTCATAAAAATTTAATGAAGAAAATGCTAGTGAATATGCAACACTCTTTAGTGCGTAAGTTGTCACTGAACAAATAAGAAACTGATATATTGTTGTATCAGTTGTTTTACGTGGATTTTAAAGTATTTGTCTTCACAAAATTTAACTTTTAATTTTACTTTTCTTTGAAGTTTGCTAACTTCCTTCTACTTTCAGTTTAACCAGAACGTGCAAAATAAGCACAAAATCTCTCACTAGTGAAGTGTACAATTGTCTTTTTATGAGATGTAGGGTAAGTAATTCTAATTGTCATGCTAATTTAGCTTGTTAGCCAATATTATTCAGTTTGTCTGTTAAACACAGAACACAAAATTTATATGAACCAGTCAATACCAAGCATAGAGAAATTAGCTACCTGTAATGTCCCCTCTTAGTTAATTTTGCTCTGTTTGCATACTACATTATTAAACAATTTCCATTTATCATTTTAATTACAGCCAAATTAAAGCTGCAAGGAAATTAGTCCTTTAAATGTTCAAAACATGCTACACAAAAATGGCAAATTTCACCATTATTTTGCTTTGGAAGCGACAAAATTTTAACTACAGTTGGGTTTGAAACCATCACCATCCAATCAGCATTTGAAATCTGTTGCACATATGGTGTGACATCACAGATTGCAAACATACACTTTGTCTGTTTAGCCTCGGTTTTATGTCTCTTTAGAAATGTTATTTGACAAGCGAGACAGCAGGAAGTGAAGACATCAAAGGAGATGAAGGACAATAGCAATTTTCTACAGCTGCATTCTGTTGTCTGTTGCACATGAAAATCGGACTGCTGACAAAGAAAGAGAATCAACGCTGGCAGAAGTTTGGAAGATTTCCTTGAACTGTGGCCAAAATCAGCATATTTGTCTTTTTTTTTTTTTTTTTTTGCGACACACGATGAACTTTTAAGAATAAAGTCAGGAGTTTTGGAGCGATGAAATTATAAATGTTACATTATTTACTTTATCCTTGATCCTTGAAGTCAGATCAGGCACTTTCACAAGACTGAAAGGCCACATCTAACATCAAATCTGCAGTGAGACACAAATTCTAAGCCCCTAGCTGTTATCATCTACTTAATTTCAGAGGCCTTTATTAAGTGATTATCAAGAGGTGCAATAGTAGGCTTGTCTTGGGCTGGGTCCTGTTATTATGGTGTATTTCTGAGGTCAGCAGACAACTAAGTGCAGCCGAGGTGGCGATGCCCCTCCCAAGACTTAACTAGATGAAGGGTGAGGTTTGTTAAAGGAGCCATATGTGTTTGTAATATACTGGTTGCCGCACCTGCATGTTGTGAATTTTAACCAGAATGATTTAAAAACAAAAAAAACAAAAAACAACAAGAACAACACACTAATAAAATTTTTTTTGAAGGAGTCTGCCCAAAACCAAACACCATCCAGCTATGAAATGTGTTTCCCAGCATGCAGCAGTGGAAGACGCGTATCACCATCTTTTTGTTACTTGGATGTTTGTAATCATAAACACATGCACAGGGTTCCCTAGACAGAGTAGCAAGGGTGCTGGGGCAGTCATCCAACAGCCTGTCATGTTTTTGAGTTAAAAATGTTTAATGTGGACAGGACATTTGAAAATATGACCATATAGTTATGTATTATTGGAAGACATTATTAATAATATCTAAAAAAACAACTATAAAGTCCTGAAGAAGGCAAACAATTGCAATAAAAATATAATTTTTTGACTTGTCACTTTATTTGCTGAAGTTATTAGCATGTAGACCGGTAAAGACAGGAAGTGGTTACGGAGCTCTGGTGAATTAAAAAAAAAAAAAAAGACACCTGACCTCAATCTTGCTGCGTTCACACGTTTCACTAAAGAGAGTCTTTAACCTGTCACTGTTATGGTGTATGAAAAAAAACTTTGAATTAATAAACAAACAATGCTTAGCCTGGTGGGGGAGCAAGTAAAGCCTGGTGACCCACCAGGCTTATAACACACTGGGACAAAAACTGCATGCATATGTGTTTGTAAAGACCATCACTAAGTTTAGTTGTGATGCAATTTAATTTCATATCACCTTTTCCTAAGAAATCCAACCAGTAATCCAACCATCCATCCATTATCTAACACACTTGCGAGGGGTGTTGGTGCCCATCTCCAGAGGTCAACAGATGAGAGGCGGGGGTCACCATGGACAGGACACCAGTCCATCACAGGACTAATGCTGCCTCATAAATAAAATAATCTGTCTTTTGCCATTTCTCGCTGTTCTGAGTGAAAATGCTTTCAACCTGATAAATTGAATCAATCTAACTATTCAAGGACATTATCATTTTATTTAAGGTACAGCAATTATGATTCAACATTGTAAATGAAGTCATCTTTAGGACATTTAATTTTAATTCACATTGACATGCCTTAAGTAAACTCTCCATGCTGTCGTCATCTTCTGCTGGTTTCTTGCCATCAGTCCGCCCGGAGAGCCAATACCCAGCCAGCATGCCTAGGTGGGACCCATGTGGGGACAAGGAGGGCAGACTATATGGGTCCCATATGGGTTTGTCCACGGGTTCCACGATGGCCCCACATGGGTTTGCCCATGTAGGGCCACAGCCCACATGGGTGCTACATGGGCCCTAATTGGACAAAACCCATGTGGGCCACCACCATATAGGGCCCATGCAGGGCCCATGTGGGCTCTGGCCCTACATGGGCAAACCCATGTGGGGCCATCGTGGAACCCGCGGACAAACCCATATGGGACCCATATAGTCTGCCCTCCTTTTCCCCACATGGGGCCCACCTAGGCATGCTGGCTGGGTAGCAACTGTTTTCCCAGACATTCCCTCCATTATTAAAAGCTCTGTGGTCACTGGATTATTGCCATTTTAATTTAAACACAGTCTCATCATGGCTTCCTCCCCTGCTGTACACCACATTTACCTTCCAAGGCTTCTCTAAATATGTTTGCTTCAAGCCATTTTCAATCTGTGGCATGATTTCAAAGTGTTTAAACAATGCACATGCAAACATTTGATCAACAAACAGCATCAGTTGGCTTAATTCTTAAATTGAACTGGACAGTAGAGTTCGGACCTGCATTGAGAGCATGCTCTGCTTGGTTGACACTGATAATTAGTTTTCTTTTAGGTTTAACCAGATAATTCTAATTGCGAACATTTAAAAACTTATTTTGATGTACAACAATTAGTTGCACATTATTGTAATAAACAGTTAGTGCAGCCTAATAGTGCAGGAAGTAGTTTTTGTGCAATAACTGCTATTCTTATATAGAAGTACAACATTTAAATATAATTTTAGTTTCATACTTTTTATGTCTCTCTTGTTTGTAGATTTGCAGCTGTACCACAAGCACTTTCCCCCCTGAGGAATAAGTAAAGTTCTTTTAGATTTAGATTTATAAATCACAATTCCGAATTTTAAGTTTTGGAGTCGATCTACTGCAGTGGAGTCCTGAAGAGTTGGCTTCCAAATGAGCTCTTATTTTTCCTTCTCCTTTTATGTCTCTTAAAGCCATTTTGTCAGACTTCACATGAAAACAACCAATTTGCTGTCTGAAGGGCTGACGGCGGCAAATGAGCTACTAATCTTGTGGTTGACAGATGAGTGCGGTCGCAGCAGAGCTAAATTTAAGGATCTTGCCGCAGTCAACCTTAGTGTTTGCAGAGATCACAAAGGCAGGATGCAACAAACTGAGCTGAATAAGGAGAGACCCTGAAACCTTTACTCCGTCTTACCTCTACTTTATACATTTACAGTGTTTTACTTTGGGTTTTTGCAGGTTGACTTGAATTGATCAAAAAGAGAGAAACAACGTTCCTTTATTTGAAAAAAAGTGATAATTTTACATATTATTAAACCCAGTCCTCCTAATGCTGATTTTTTTTTATAGCTTTGCCTTCATCATGCAATGCTAAGCTAAGTATCTGGCTGTAGAGTAAGCCACTGGAGCACTACATGCTATATGTAGGTCAGGTGTAATCTTGGAAAAGCTGTCTTTGCATGTAACAGCCTCGAAAACATGTGTCTGTTGAAAATAAGCTGCAAACATTTGAAGTGTTAATAAAATTCCCAAAAGCGGGAAGCAAAGAGATTAATATTAGATTGACCTCATAATTGACCCAGTTAGTTTCTTAAACTTAAAGTTAAGTTGAACTTTTAACATTTGTTAAAAGTAACTACTTTTAACTGTTATATTGTACTTAAAGTTTTTATTATCTATTATTCAGTTGTAATCTTTTTTTAATTTTACAGCCCATGTTTCTGAGAAATTTTATGTCTAATTGTGCCTGGAATTTTTATATCCACATTACATTTAGTTTAATATCTAATGCTTTGTTTTTACATCATTTGAAGTTCTTTGTGTTGCCCTGGTTAGATATGAAAAATGCTTTAATATTAAAGATTGACTAACAGAGTGTCAGCTGCTGCATTGGTTGAGGGAGATAACTGAGGCGAGGAAGAACTAGAGTCTCGTTCGTCATCCTGTCATTGCTCTGTGACTCAACAAATCATTTCTTGTATGTAAAGCTGCAAAATGTAACTTATGTAAAAAATGTTTTTTATGTATTTGCTAAAACTGTCACTGTGTCCTGGCAGTATGACACAAAACAGATAATCTGTGGAAAAAAGGAACTCCTTTGCCTTCTCCCTGTTGTGCTGCTGCTATCTGTAGACTAGACAAAATGGTCAAAAAAAAAAAATCAAAGGCAGAAGGAGGGTCTTGGTGATGTCACTCACATTTTGTATGTGCTGCTCATTGTGCTAATAGCAGAGAAACAACCAAACATTACAAGAAAACTGTTTATCTGCTGCCACCAGAGGACATGCTAAGTAGCCTGCGCATTCACGGCAGACTCAAATGTAATGAAATAGCTGTGGCAAAGCAGAGAGCAAGGGAGAGTGTGTGAGCAGCACATACATAAAGCTGATTGCTAGAGCTAAGACCTTCCTCATGACTCTGATTGGTTGTTTCTGACAGACTGGAGTTTTTCTGCAAATGGCAGTAGGAGGAAGCCAAGGAGCCAATTTTCTTTTTTTCTTTTTTTCCCACATACTGTCTCATACTGTCAAGATGTGGTGGCAGTTTTAGAAAATTTTTTTTTATTTTTTATTTTTTTTTATAACTTACTGCAGCTGTAACGTGTACCCTAGACTTCAGGACATCAACAGGAGTTGATGGTTCATGTACAGAAATGTACCTAAAAAGCCAATCAAAATTTTTTCCATAGCTTTCTTTCAGATATCTGGGAGGCAGTGCACAGCAACAGGTGGTGGCGGGACACTGTTGTGTACCTTTGTACTACATAAAGTTGGATTAAATTCCGTTCTGATATGGTGTCTCATTGGAAGCAGAACGGCTCCATACAGCTAGCAATAAAAGAATGCTTATCTTGTAGAACCCGGACAAGCCCCCACTCCTCAAAGCATGCCTGATTCATTTTGACACACCTTAAATCAGTCAACAATCCACTGATAAAGACTTTTAATTCCAGTGAGTAATCGTCTGCTCATTTGTACGTTTACCTCTAGTCATTTAGTAAATCGTTTTTGTCTTAGAACAGCTTTCAAATTTAGAACATTTAGCTCTGAGTGCAGTAAGACGAGCTGATGTAAGCATCAAGAATGAAACGGACAGAGTGCAGAGAAAAGACTAAAGAGGTGCCACATAAGGAGAAGACCTCTTCTTTTTTCCATCTGTGGAACATGAGAGTTTTTGCTTTCTGAGGAGCTGAACTCCAATTAATTAAAAGGTCACATAGCTACGAGTAAGTCCCAAATAAATAAATAACGGGCCAAGTTGCATATCGAGTAATTGTGAGGCAGATGCAGCTGCAAAGTCTGCAAACAACATAAACACATTTTAAGAAAATCAGGATTAACTTGTCAATTCTTAATCCTTCACCTTAAGCTCTGCTCACAGATTTCACTTGTGATGTTTTGGTTTGAGATACTGTTTAAAATGTTCTGTGACGCCCTGGGTTCTGCTTTGTAGCTGTTGC